CCCCAAAACCCCAAAACCCCAAAACCCCAAAACCCCAAAACCCCAAAACCCCGAGGGAAGCCCCCAAGATTGATTTTGAATTCACAATTATACAACTAGGTTTTATCATAATTTCATGAGCTTAGATACAATTTTTGGGGATTTATAGGTTGTTAGCGTCAGAATTCAAGAAAAATCTCTTTTTTAACTTCCTTGGCTGCTTTTTGTTCATGCTTGTAATTCAAGGAAGACGACTGCCTCTTTTTGGGCCAGATTTTTGTATGTTTTTGAGCATTTTTGGGGCTTTGGAGCTTTGTTTTGACATAGAAGGTTGGAGGATAGACACACCTTTTGACCCTTTGTTGGAATTTCTTAGTGTCTAAAGAAGATATAGGCCAGATAGAGGCAAATCATCATGAATTCGAGTAGTTTACTTACCTTTTTGGAAATTTTAAGTCTTGGAACTCCTAAAGGAGTAGCGAATATTCCATATAATCTCTGAGTTTTAGTCAGACTCATGCCAGGATTTGACTTCTTACTGACCATATTTAGGTTAGCTTTTGACAGGGGTCTTCAGTCTAAGCTTTTTCTCCCCAATGATTTTTCATGCTTATTTAGAATGCTTAGAGTCCTTGCTAAGCTTTCTGTCCTGAGCATTATTTAAAAGTTTTAAGAGTGTCGAACTTGATATCCTTTCTTTGAGGCGATTTTGTACGAGTTATCTTAGTGTTCCTGCTCTGCTTTTTACCTTTTGATTTTCGCCTGATCCTATGGAGTTAGAGTGATAGTGTACTTTATGTCAGAAGGGCCCTTCTGAGGTTGCGCTTTGAACATATTCTTAGGCTTGCTAGATCTTTTGTATAAGGGCTCTATCAAATCTTTCCTCGAATATCCTTGAAGTTTGATCGAAACAACATCAGATTCAGCATTTATGGGCTTCAACCTTGAGTTATAGTTCACACTCGTCGGTCTCTCTAAGATTTAGGGATAGAAGGTACCTTTCTTGTTGTTCTGAGGAGTGGGGAGCTCAATTACATCATCACTTTGAGGATTGCATTGGACATTTACTCAGTCGATATTGATCATTTTACGCTGACGGCCTTCATTAAATATCATCCTCGAATTCTTTGAATTATAATTATGCAATTTATTATGTTTATGCTGATGAGTTTTTAAGCTAGGAATGCTTTCTAGGTTTGAGGTTTTCAAATCCTTAAGCTCCCTATGAGTTAGTGAGTGCAAACATACTCAAAAGAGGTTCTCCAGATCGATAATTTCTTCTTGCTACTTCTTGGACTTTTCGGATTCAAAAGTTTATTCTTATCAAAAGTTTTAGTAATTGTATTGCTGTTGGATTATAAATAATAGCTTACACTAAGGATACAGGCTTCTCAATAAAGTTTAATGCATTCTTTTCTGGCGTAAGTGGTTTATCTAAAACTTCTGAGGGGTAATGTGACAATAAGGAATCACTTTCAATAAATTCATCAAGAACCTTCGACACTTCATGCAGTTTCTCGCCTTCATCACCACCAATGAAATCTCTCATTTGACTATTGAAAACTAAACGAGTGATTATTTTAATTTTCTTACTTGAGGAATAGGAATCGTCTTGTCGGTCAAGTTTCATATCATGTACGACTACGTTCATGTAATCATCAACTGGCATATCTTTTCCAGATTCAGCATCCTTGAAGACATATTTTGCCTTTCCAAGAGCCTCTTGATTTGTGATAATCGAGGAGAAGTCCATTTCCTTTTTAAATAAGTATTTTAATTTATAGCACCATATGGGGTTTTGGGGTTTTGGGGTTTTGGGG